TCTGCCGAGGAGCACGCACAACACGTTGAGACTGTACTCTCACTCCTACGACAACACAAGTATAAGGTCAACTTAGAGAAGTGTGAGTTTGGTCACACTAAGATACTATACTTGGGTCATGAAGTATCCGCCGAGGGGATTAGGCCAGAAGATGCGAAGGTGGCTAGTATTCGAGACTGGCCACGACCTCAAACAGTCACTGAGGTCAGATCATTCTTAGGAATGTGCGGCTACCATAGGAACTTCGTAAAGAACTATTCGACAGTCGCCTCTCCTTTGACTAATCTAACTCGACTTGACACACCGTGGGACTAGAATGATGAGTATGAAGGTGCTTTCAAGAGATTGAAGCATGCACTCATGAATCATGAGGTCCTCATGGTTCCCGATCCTCAGAAGCCATTCATAGTGACCACTGACGCAAGCCAATACGGCATTGGCGCAGTGTTGGCTCAGCAGGATGGGAAGAAGTTGAGACCGATTGAGTACATGAGCAAGAAGATGCCATCGAAGAAGTTGGCAAAGTCCACCTATGAAAGGGAACTCTATGCTCTATACAAAACACTTGTCCATTGGACACACTTCCTATTGGGAAGGTTCTTCTACTTGAGGACTGATCATCAGACCCTCAAATGGATCAAGACTCAACCGGCTTTTTCTGACGCACTCAAGCGATGGATTGAGGTCATAGACCAATATGACTTCAAGCTTGAGTATCTGAAGGGAGAGCATAACAAGGTTGTTGATGCGCTATCACGTAGAGCAGATTACCTAGGTGCGCTAGTTTATGACTTTGGCGTATCTGAAGAAGTAACTCAATCATTGGTGGGAGCCTATCAGGAAGACCCTGTCACGATGGACATCATGCGCAAACTTCAGGCTAAAGACAAGGCCACGGAAAGTGAGTTTGTGATGGTGGACGGGTTACTCTATCTTGTTAAGGCCGGAATAAAAAGATTAGTAGTTCCATCTAGTGAGCGATTGCGTAGTTTGTTTTAAGGCGAATGCCATGACGCAACTGGGCACTTTGGCTACAAGAAGACGAGTGCTAACCTAGTACAACGATTTTGGTGGCCAGGAATGTTTGATGACACAAAGAAGGACGTAGAGACCTGTCAGGTCTGTCAGCGGGACAAGCCGCGAACTCAAGCACCGCCTGGGTTGTTGAAACCTTTGCCTATTCCTGCTGGTCCAGGACAGAGTGTTTCCATGGATTTCATGGACACCCTGGTGACTAGTAAGAGTCGCAAGAGGCACATCTTCATCATCATCGATCGATTCACCAAGTACGCTAGACTAGTGGCTATGCCAGAGACCACAAGAACTGACTATGTCATCAAGTTGTTCAAAGACAACTGGGTGGGTGACTTTGGTTTACCGAAGTCAATCGTTAGTGACCGAGATGTCCGATTCACAAGTGAGTTGCGGAAGAAGACTACAGAACAGATGGGCAGTCAACTTCAGATGACTTCAGGGAATCATCCCGAAGCCAACGGACAAACCGAGCAAATGAACAGAGTTGTACAACACTTGCTGAGGCATTACATCAAGCCCAGCCAGGATGATTGGGATGAACAGTTGCCTCTCATCGCCAGCCTGTACAACAATGTCGTCCACAATAGTACCGACGTTAGTCCTAATCAACTTAACTTGGGATGGAAGCCTAGATGAGCGTTAGACTTCCTCCTACCTGAAAACCGACCCGCTGCAACTCCAGGCACACTTGAGTATGGTGTGCAATATGAGAAGTTGCTGCAAGAAGTTGTCGAGGACATGAAGAAAGCTCAGCAAGCAATGATTGCTTCTGAGAATCAACACCGTAGACAAACCACATTTCAGGTAGGGGAACGTGTCTAGGTCAAGGCTAGCGAGTTAGGACAAGAATTCGGAATCTCTCGCAAACTAATGCCTCAGTACTTTCGTCCCTGGGAAGTCCTGGATATAGTGGGAGATGAGATGGATGGCCCCACATATGTCATTCGTGTCCCTGGACACCTACGCACTCACCCAGTCTTTCATGCCTCAAAGCTTGCACCTTTCGCAGAGACAGATCAATTCCCTTCCAGGAGATCGATGCTGCCCCCAACCATGGATGGTCAAGTGGACATCGACAACATTGTGGATCACAGGGATATGCCTGTTCCGAAGTCACTAGGTCAAGGAAGACCTCCTAAACCCAAGAGAGAGTATTGCGTCAGATTCAGGCATCATACGGATCCAAAAGAAGATCGGTGGTTAACCAGAGAGGAACTGATTAAGACAGCTCCTCAGGTGGTGGCAGAATATGAGAGACTGCTGAAAGGGAAGGCACCTGCGAAGTACGCATCTCAGCGGACTTTCGAAACTAAGGGAGATGGAATGTGAGGATTGAGCCCTCAAGAAGGGGCCTTGCCATGATGTACATGTTCTGGGCTAAGGCCCCAGCAAGCCTAGTGCCCGCCCTAAGTGAAGGCGGGCCAGCAAATCAACAAGAGCCCTATGTGCAAACATTTCCCGAAGTGGGGTTCATACAGTTGCAGCACGCCAGTTGGTTGGAGTGCACCGAGTCTCGAATCTCTGCAAATGTGAAGATCCCAGGGCCTCTGAGTTAGTTAGGCCCTGGGCAATCGAACGTGAGGCCGACAATGCATGCTGGGTATAGAGGCCGAAAATGCCAAAGGGAAACAGGCCCACTATCTGAATCTGGCCGCAGGCCTTGATGAAAGAGGCGCAACTGCATTGCCCCGGGCCCCAACTGTATCGGCCTGAGTTCATCCATTGGGGCCCAGTCGCAGGCTGAAGGGAGGCCGCCCACACGCAGCACTGGCATATAGGCAAGCAGGGCGAGTGGGCAGGCATCCTTGGCCAATGCAGGCATTGTCGGCACGCTGCGCGAGTGCGAGTGTGCTGCCCTGTGTCAAGCTGCGTTGGGCATGAGGGAGACAGGCAGCGCTAATACGGTGGTGCGTTGCCTGGGCACAGGGCGCTGGCGGCCATAGCCGGACTGCTGGCGGGCGCAGGGGAGGTGAGGGCGATGGTGGTTCTTCGGAGGTGAAGGGCGCTGTGTGGGTAACAAGGGAGAGTGTGCGTGAAGAGGACACGTACCTGGTGGAGGTGGAGGTCGGCATTGGTGTTGACATCATCACTCGCTGGTAGTCAAGTTGTCTGGTTGCTTTCATTGCTGTAGTTGTAGGCTTAGTCTGTAGAGTAGATAGGGCGCCTGGCGCCATTCATAAGAGAGAGCTACATTGGATTATGCTGTTGGTGTTGCCCTGTTGGGCATGGACATTGACTCACGATTCTTCTGTATCATTCTCAATTGGATGGTTACTCGGTTCCATTGTGCTATCTGCTCTGGCTTTGACTACTTGGACTTCAGTGTGATTTTGCATTCTGGATTTCTGTGCTTCGTCCATATTCATGTTCCTTGCAGATTGGTTGATTGATTGATTGATTGGTTGGTTGTTTCGTTTTGCAGGATGGTAGATAGGGACAGTGGGAATCTTCATAATCCATTTATGCGCGCCACTAATTAGATGACGAGGCATTTGGCTACCCGCTGTTTACCTGCACGCCAGCACGCGCACGCACAGACACACACACACACACACACACACACACACACACACACGCACGCACGCACGCACGCTTGCACGCTTGCACGCACACTCACGCATGCACACACACACACACACACACACACACACACACACACACACACACACGCACACACACAGTGGCATACTGCGCAGCCACAGGGGCCTGCAGGGCCCGACCAGAAAGTAAGGGCCTTCCAGGCTCTGTGTCATTTCAACCTAAAAGGGCCCTCCAGGCCCTGAGTCTTTTTAGCCTGAAAAGGAGGGTCATTTTCAGGCCCTCACAAGGTCGACCTGCCCTGAAACTTAGGCGCCAGACCAGGGTTTAGCACAGGCCATTTTTGGGCCTGTTTCAAGACAACCTTTGTTTGAACTTCAACGCCAGGGTCTGGCACATTTCGGCGTTGGCAAGAGCAGTCTCCCGGACGGGCCAACACAATATAGAACTGGCCCGCCCTGCAGGCTGCAGGTAGTTCACAGGCACTTCACGTGCAGTTCATGGGCAGTTGAGGTCATGCCATCCATTGCAACTCAAGAAGGAGCGGAATGAGATCAGGAAAACACGAGAAGTGAAGAAAAGAAGAAGAAGAAAAATATACAGGAGGCTTGACCCGGTTTGCAGCAAGTGATGCAACCCACCTATAGACCACGAGCAACCGACAGGGACTACTTGGGCGAGGCTCTCTTATCACTCCCCACAGTAGACACAATGTGTTTTTTCAAAAAAACAAAAGAAGAAGAAGAAGAAGAAGAAGAAGAAGAAGAAGAAGAAGAGGAAGAAAAAGACAAGAGCAGACCAATGTCATCTCCCTCCTCCACTCAACAGCAACGTATCCCTCACATAATGCCCTCCTCCTATTTCATGAACAATGAACTACAGTAAAAACTGAATGACTTTTTAGGAATCGATGTCCAAATGCTCCCTCTTACTCCCTGTGTAGAAATATCTCGCCTTTGGCCTCCTTTCCCTCCCCTCACAAGTTGTTATGGCATCTGCCTATTGTGGTACTACCATACCAAGCACGGTTATTCCCAACAACAACAAAACTACGATCTTGCCACTCCCCTCTCCTTCCGCCACAGCAACCTCCGAATGAAGTCTCTTCGAGCAGGGAAGCCCCAAAGGGTCCTTCTAGATTCAGCGTCGTCCAAAGAGATGAACACGAAGGTCCGCATTAGGGAAAGGTAAATTTCCCTATACTGAAATATCCGTACTTGGAACCTAACAAATTCAAGAAACAACGGTTTTGAGTTCGCAAAGGCAAAAGAAAACATGCGTCCGCAAAGATATCAGGGCGTGAGTTTGGAACGGCAATTCAGGTAGAAAAGAACTCGTTAGGCTTTTTTTCCCCTTTTCTTTCCCTGTCCGACACCACGACCGACCGCTATAGTTATGACACCCGAATTGACACCACGGCCGTTGGTATTTTCATTGCTTTTTTGTTCTCAGCACCCTTTTTCTTTGCCTGCATGTGTTTTTTTTGCTCCTTAGATACTCGAAAGTGACATCAACGTACTTTCCCCCAAATTCAAATTATATGATAGGCCTACCAACAAACGGTATCTATGTCGTACTTAGTACTAGCACTTACCTTTCGACTGTGTCACGGAGTCTACACTTAATTTCTAACCTACCCCTGTCAGTGATTGAAGCACTACACTTAATTTCTAACCTACCCCTGTCAGTGATCAGAGCACAGACAAACAGAATGGCGCACGAAGTTAGCTCACAGCCTCACACAGTCAGACGTCCGACTTAAGATTCCGCAGGCAGGCATATGGACATCATGAGCGGCCATTCAGACTCACCAAAACACAGAAAAACAGACTGTTGCATACTGTGACTGTGCAGACCAGAACAAGAACCGACCTCTCAATACAAAGTACAGGATGACACAACGGAGGAGCGCTGCAGTAGCCTTCAGCGCTAGGCAGTAGTCTTCAGCGCTAGGCAGTAGTCTTCAGCGTTAGCTGTAGTCTTCGGCGCTGGGCGCCCATAGCCATAGCAGTAGTCTTCAGCGCTGGGCGCTGGTATGTGGTAGATCGTAGAGTTGGGAGAGATACTGGCGGAGGCCAGTGGTACTTACCTGTGGCGCCATCGCTCCAGCTCCATCTGCGAGGTACCTGCAT